CGCAATATGCATATCGCAAGGGCGTGCGATATCTGAATCATTTTAATAATAGGCTACTTAAATCAAAATGTTGCAAAAGGTCAAAGTTTTAGTTTGATGCATATTGCAGAGAATTGCTTGATGTTAAAAAGAGTTAAGTGCAATAAGTTGCAAAAAACAACTCTTTGCTGTCTCGTCTTGCTGTCTGACTCGCGCGCACAAGCTGCGTCTTGCACAGCGTCTCTTCAGTTCTGCCGCACACGTGCAAAGCGCGTGCACACACACACAGAGCTTAGTCGTAATTACTCAATGACTTAGTCATTATCTCGCGCGCACACACACACACACACACACACACGCACACAAAATCTAATAGAAATGTAGTTACTCATTAAAAGTGCACTCAAAGTCTAAATCCAGGTTCTTTCAAATCCTATAAAAAATTTATAATATTTTATTATCCAGAATATTTTTTCAGCTTTTTTTACTCTTGACATACAGATTTATTTTAATACATATATGTAACAAATTACCACCTAATGCATATTATTTTGCATTATTATATTATATTATATTATAATGTATTATATATATTGTTATATATTATTATACTGTTTATTTTTTGAGGTATGTGAAACAGTACTGGCACATATATATCATTTATATATATCATTTTTTTATTATATATATATATATATATATATATATATATATATACAACATTCTTATTATTAATAATTATTTCTATTCTAGACCTAGTTTGTTATACATATATTTGTACAGCATATATGTTTGAACAGACACATACACACAGAATTATGTCAATAGTACCCATCTCGACGATCATTCTCGTAAACGCAGTTGGTTATGTTTTAAATGAATGTAAACCGCTGAGAAAGAAATCGGATGTGTATCATTATACTGGATCCGTGCAGTCGGATTTAAAGGGACAGCAGCCTATAAATACGTGCTGCTGAATATGTCACTAATGTTAATCAAACAACAAAACAGCTTTAACAAAGATTAATCTAAATTTAATTCATACAGTTAATACTATGCAGTGTTATTTTACACTTAATTATTAAATTTCTGTACCTGAATACTACTGTTTATTATATCTATGCTTGTAAATTGTGTATTTATTTTTTTTTCTTTTTTTTTTACTGACTGTTCACTTGCCGTTAATCATGTACACTGCTGGTCACTTTCAGAAGTTGTAGTGATTCTTTCTTTTCCAAGAAAGAATGTGAAACAAATTGGTTATATCATTTTCATTTTTAAATATTTTAAAATATAATTTAAATTGATTTTACACACTTGTCGTATCGAATATCGCATTTTTTAACAAGGTATCGCATATCGCATATCGCATTTTTCTTCAATATCGCACAGCCCTAATATTAATAATAATGAATTAACTATAGGACGAAATGAGAATCGATGGGTCTGAAGATTAATGTGAACCTTTCATGGTTTTTACTCAGGGAGTTATGAAGGGACAGACACCTTCTCAACACTTAACCACTGATTTCTAGTCGTGTCCTCTTTTGGAAGGCCAAACAAAGTAGTTTCGCTTTGACAACAAAATACACAGTGTCACACACGGCGGGCTAGAGTGAGTGGCGGCCGGAGGGCTAGAGTGAGCGGAGGCTGGCGGGCTTGAGAACGGCGCAGCTGGGGGATTCGACGAAGGAGCGTCCGAAATATAATTTAAATTGATTTTACACACTTGTCGTATCGAATATCGCATTTTTTAACAAGGTATCGCATATCGCATATCGCATTTTTCTTCAATATCGCACAGCCCTAATATATATATATATATTTAAAAACCACTGTAGGTTGCTTATCACTGTTGCATGTTGCTCATCCATTAAAGGGGTCATATGATGTTGCTAAAAAGAACATTATTTTGTGTATTTGGTGTAATGAAATGTGTTTAT